AATATTGTTGCTCTCTTACAGGGTAACTGTGCAGAAAACACAGCCAAGAACTGCAAAATCAGCAGAGAGGAGCAGGATGCGTACGCCATCAACTCTTATAGCTGCAGCAGAGCAGCGCACGAGGCTGGTGTGCTGGCAAAGGAGATAATACCTGTTACTATTACCCAGAAAGGTACAGGAAGATATACCATGTTTGTCTCGGCCCAGTGACTTTAATTAGTGTTATTGCACAGCTAATGTTGTTGATGGGGTTTTGCAGGCAAACCTGATGTGGTGGTGTTTGAGGATGAGGAGTGGAGACGGGTCGACTTCAGCAAAGTCCCCAAACTGAGAGCTGTGTTCCAGAAAGAGAACGGTAACGATGAGTTATAGAGCAACATGAAGCTGTGTGAAGCATCCAGATTCTTCTTGCACTTTAACACTAATTAAAATAAAACAAAAAGATTAAAAATGAGATTTTCTTTAATATTTTTAACTAAGACGTGTAACATCAGACAAATACAGTGTGTACTGTTTTTATTAAAATAACTTAAAAAAAATTGTACAAGTAGTTCTGCTGCTACAGGAAATGTTAATAACAGTAATGTGGTTGCTCATCTGTGCGTTATTAAAGGTGTAATTTATTTTGATGGGTCTCTTGTTATTTTTTTATTTTGCTGTTTTCAGGCACGGTGACAGCAGCCAATGCCAGCACACTGAACGACGGAGCTGCAGCTCTTGTTTTAATGACAGCAGATGCAGCAAAAAGACTCAATGTGACTCCACTGGCCAGGGTTGTTTGTAAGTTTTTCGTGGACGCTTGCTTCATGGAGAGCTTTACTGTTGGTTTGCTCTTGGTTCGCACTCACAAGGTGAGGAAGGAGGCAGTGCTGGTCGATATTGCTGGAAAAAACAAAAAGACAGTGTAAAACCTAACCCCAATAATTACCTGACACCATATGATCAAGTACTTGGTGACAGTGGGAAAGAAAAACATTTAACAAGAAGAAACCTCTGGCAGAACCACATTGACCACATTTTTTATGCTTTTTTCAGAGCATTTAAAATCACAAGAAAACAGCAAATAAGTTTAAGCATTGATATTCGTTAGAGGCATCTTTAAAAGAGGGTAATCCAAACCCAAAGGCCGACTGGCTCCAAATAGTTGGACCTGTATAATGAACTGGGTAGAAGCTGACTTGATACATTTGACCATCATTTGTTCCAGTGGTATCTGTTCAACTATCTTCATTAAAGTAACAAAAATCTGTCATAAAAAATCTTCTGTTGTTAAACCGTTAGCTGGCTTTGTTTAGTTGTTGTTTTTCAATGCATCCATTTGAGTCTGACACCAGTTCTTCAGCATTTGTTTATATCAAGTCACGGTGGTAAAATGAACTCCTTTTGAAATGAAAGTGTTTCTTGTTTCCTCCTGAGAGTATCTTTGGATGACTTTTGGTTGCCAAACAGTTCATATATATCTGTACATTCTCTGATTTGTTTTACACAGCTTTTGCCGATGCTGCAGTTGCACCCATTGATTTCCCCATTGCTCCTGCATTTGCTGTACCAAAGGTGGGTTATGAGCATGTAGTCTGGCACTTACATTTTCTAATTATTTTGCAACAATGACACAACCCCCAAAAACATGGTTTTACAGATGGAGGCCACCAACAGTTTTTCCCTCCTCATCTTTTCAGTTTTTTCACTAGTTTGATGAGACTAGTCCTCTATTAGGCCAGTCTCTGTATCACCTTATGCTTTTAGTAGTCTGAGGCAATACTTGGGACCCTACAGAGGTTACACAGGTAGACCAACTCTGACAGGGTGACACATCAACATCTGCCATTGACAGAAGGCTTTCTGTGTCTCCCAGCACAATTTCAAGAGCATGGGAGAGATTCGAACAGACAGGCAGTTACTTTAGGATAGCTGGACTGGGCCATAGAAGGTCCTTAACCCATCATCAGGACTGGTGTCTGCCCCTGTGTGCAAGGAGGAATAAGATGAGCACTGCCAGAGCACATCAACAACTCGTGTAGGAGGTCACTAAAGAACCCAGAATAGCATCTAAAGAACTGAAGGCCTCACTTCTTCCAGTCAAGATTACATAATATAAGAATAAGCCTGACCACAAATAGGAGAGTTCCAACGACAAAACCACTGCTGACCAAAATAAACACAAACTCCATTTTTCAAAAAATATCTTGATGATTTTGGTAAATAACCCAAAACCTTTGGGAAATATTCTGTGGACATGGGAGACAAAAGGTGAACAAAGAATTCAACCAAGTCCAACCTGAAAGGCTCATCGTCAGTTATCACAAATGCGCGATCCTGCTTCTTGCTGCAAAGGGTGACACAACAACACAATGACATCATCATTTAGAAACTGCATGTTGTATTTGCCTGGGTTATATTTGTTTTGTGATTACTAAAGATTGTTCATATTTATATTTTTAGGTTAAATTAAAAGTATATACAAAAGCATAATATAATAATTATTTAGACCCATATATGTGTATGACTAGACCCGTGTGTGTGTGTGTCTGCCAGGTGCTGGATGCAGCAGGGCTGAAGAAGGATGATATTGCCATGTGGGAGATCAATGAGGCCTTTAGCGTGGTTGTGCTGGCTAACATCAAGATGCTGAACATCGACCCAGCAAAAGTCAACGTTAACGGGGGAGCTGTGTCACTGGGACACCCCATTGGGTAGGTGACACAACAAAATGTTACAACTTGGCTTTAACTCACCTGGTTCTTCTCAAAAGTATTTTTTTCTAGTAAATGTGTTTACATTTGTCTGAAATATTCAGATGTGGCCCATAATATTGCAAACAATACATCATAACTGTTTCTCTTCGCAAACAAGAAACCTGACACGTGACAGCCCTGCTAACCTTTTTGGCTTTGTCAGAGTTAATTATTTAACTGGAGCAATGCTTAACCACAGGTATGTGGATCTTCTCTAAGCACTGACCTTAGCAATTGAGACTTTGTTGACTATGCTTAAAAAGCCAGCTCTGTGCCAACAAACCACATAATTTAAATTAACTCTACAAATTCTGCGAAACAGTGTGCTCAAATGTCCAGCCTGACTTATTCTAGAAGCTTGTCAATGGCTAACAAAGGTGCCATGGCCGAGATTAACTTGCTAAGAGACATTTAAGCAATATAAATAGGTGCGTATGTATATATTTGAGCCTGTATATATATAGTATTAAACATGCATAGATGAGAGAAAATCCAAAATAAATTCAAACCTGTTTACCCAATTTATTGAAAGTCATTGAAGAAAAATCTCAGAAAAATCATTCCACTCTGGAAAAAGAACAGTCCAAATTAATCATTCCCAAAATGACTATTCATGGCAGGCTCAGCCTACGTTTGAAGCCGCCGAGGTGTTCGATGGCGGGGCTGACGTGATGTCACTGTTATGAATGAAATTTGCCACAGTCCAATAACTCCAGCCGTACTTATCTTGTCCGTTTAACATCTTTATTGCATTCCATCAGTTGTATTTATTGTTCAACAGTTCTCTTTATCCAACCTCATTTATCATAAATCACAACAGCATAGCGGTCACAAACTGTTTGCTTTTTCCGACCAAACAACATCTGACACTAATTACGTGTGCCTACCTTAAATACAGTCCCATGTTTGATTTCTGTGCACTTCTGTAGTACGCCATGGCTTTTTAAACCTAGAGTAGAAAAGAAACTATTACCCTCTATTTCTCTTTCCTCTGTCAGGATGTCTGGTGCAAGAATTGTGGGTCACATGGTGCACAACCTGAAGTCTGGTCAGTACGGGCTGGCGGGCATCTGCAATGGAGGCGGCGGAGCTTCTTCCATTCTGATCCAGAAGCTGTAAGAAGACCTGGCAAGAAGCTTCTGTTCCTTTAAGAGTGTTGAACTGTGCAGTGACTGTCTGCTGGTTCCAAAGGACTCTCACATCTATAAGCTCCTGTTAATTGTGAAGAAAGAATCTGTTACGTTAATGTCAGCGGCCTTAGCAAACAGCAACACGGGACTCCTGTGATGTCGTGACTCCAGTGTACAAAACACTCCTCTTGTTTGAGAACACGTCTTGTGCAAAAAATAGAATAATGTTTAACTCTGGTTAAATAAATAGTTTTTTGAAAGCACTGTCTTGTTATTGGTCTGTTGTGAGCGTGTGTATTTACTGGGTATTACTACAATTACCAGTTTGTGTTGTTTTTCAAACTGGCCACTAGATGCCGCAACTACCTTTCTTAAGTTAAGCTGTTCTTACACTGGATACATAACGTGCCAGAGATAAGCGATAACATTGACTGTGCTCTGTTTGGCTGCATTATCTGCAACAGCAATGTCTTTTTAACCTTTTGAAATTGGGGATTAAAGGATCAGTTTGCCTCTGATTATAAGAACTGCACTTTTCCCCTCTCTTAAATATTCTCTGCCCGAAGGGAAACAAACATTTGTCTGTAATGATAAAACATGAATTAAACTATATTATTTATATTAAGACAAGAATGTAAAACAAAAAAGATGCTAGACAGATACCATTTTTGATGGCTAAAGCATTTGTAAATATTCACAAGGTAATCCATGTCTTTAAATAGACAGAATTCGCCCATAGAGTTTAGTGGACTCATGTTTGTGGGGTGCGGTTTAAGTGTAGTGTTGCTGGAAATGTATCATGTTTTTCCCCTGTGGGTGAACACCTAGTCAGGATATGCTGCTCAGTAAAGGTAAGTTTCATCAAAACCGGGGGAAGGAGGGTGCAATGAGTGGTTAGCTTTATGCAGGATGTTTTGTTTCCTCTAATTAGCTTGAACTCGATGATCCCTCATTATCCTCACACCCTTTCAAAGTCAGTTTAAGGTTGTGAGTGTGTCATTTAGACATTATGTACCTCCATCCTGTCCTTCATGACCGTCATCTTTCTTTCTCTATTTTGCATTTCCTGACAGTTGGCACATTCATACAGAGTTAAATTTTAACAGGGTCTGAAAGTCCTTTGTCCATTCTTTTTTTAAAGTCCACTTATTTAGACGTCACAAATTAAACTCAGGGAACTCTTTGCTTTGACAGGATCGAGATTTACACTTAATGTAAGTGCATATATTACACCTTTTCACCCTATTTTTAATCTTCATGTTATGGTTAGCAGAATATAGTAGAATCTTATTAGGCCCCAGAGTAAAGCTGTGAAGACTGGTAAGAGATGGAGCTTTGATTACCAAAACACGTGCCTTATGCAAAAGAACCTAAGCTTGTATGAGATGCACAGGATTGTTACACCAATCTGCAAACCTCTCGGAAATATATATAGAACACTGTCTTTCATCTGTACTGAAGTATGGTGCTTTGTAATGGGGCTGGTATTGTATCAAAAGCATTGTTTGTATTTGTCTCAATCCGAACGTGTGTATTTCAGTCTGTGTGGAGATTTGTGTGTGCGTAGCAAAAGTTACATGTTAAAAAAAAAAGAGAGAAAAAGTAAAACTGCATGATTGTAACTTGTGATGTTGTGTGTTGTTGTTGTTTTTTTATAGAGATTTGCGCTTTAATACTTTTGAACCATTCATACTCACAGAACAGACATGAACACACAGACATACTGATTTCTCTACGCACACACAAATCTGATTACACGTACACGAACTGGAATATGTACATGTGAATTAAGATACTGAGATATGCCCATATTCTTTGCACCTGTCATTTTTTTATCCAGTTGTGTGTAAATCCACTTGAGCACCACATGCTGGGTGCGCACACAGTGGGAAAGGGCGTGACTCTGGCTGTTGATTACATTCGAGGCGAGAAAGAAAATGAGACGGGGAGAGAGAGAAACAAACGAGTGCGGTAACAGAGTCAGAGAACCGAAGGAAACTTTCGAGGTGAGAACTAGTAAATAATTCTAAGTAATTTAGCTGTCCTGGATCACATGATACCTTCATACCAAAGTAAGATGAGCAAATATTTATTCAAAAATGTTCTCTCTTCAGTTTAAATCTTATTTGTGAATAACAGAAAAGTGTAAACGAGTATTTCTGTTTCATTTTAATATGTGTGTGTTATTTTTTAGCTTCTTATTGTGGGGCCAAGCTGTTCAGTTTAATGAAAAAATACAAATCTGCAAAGATGTGTGAATGTTTTTATACCTGTGTTGCACCTAACAACTAGTATTTAAATGTGTTTAAATTTTACACATCACTTTTCAGGTTTCACAGAGTTCTTCTTCTTCGGGCAGTAAAATCAGTTTCACTATGAATAATAATCAGGTATGGTCACCTCAAGTGTTATTCTCAGGTTGTTATTTGACTAAACATACATATACAAACAGGCTCGATCTGATATCTCAACTTTATAACTGAATCTAACAAACCGATGCTGATGAAATGATTACCTCAGTGACAGGTAGAGCAAATAAATTCATCTTTTTTTTGTCTGTATATCTCCAGGTGAGCGGTCCCATGTATGACAACCAAGTGTTTAAACATGAAGAATATAGTCCTCCATATTCTGTAACACAGCAGATCCCCAGCCATTCCTCCATCAACCAGTATTATACTTCAACACCCGGAATACCAGCTAATCCAAGGCAAACAAAAGGTACTGGAATATTTGATTTGACCAAGGTTGTCACTTGGCAAATATCCATCTGGAAATATGTATTGCACATTCACAGAATCATTAACTTATTTTTGTTCCACATTTTAAATCCACACATACTAATTTAACCTAAATAATTAAAATTGTTTCCTTGATTAAATGAATACAGTTTCAATCGAGTCTTTTCTAGAGACACAAGACAACGTGGCTAAAATAGTTTTAAACTGTTGTTGTCTAAAAGTTGGCAGGCAGAAAGCCGTGGTGTGGTTTTACGGTGTTTCCACAAGTTAAATACTGTGCAAATTTTAATATGCAGCATAAAATAGGTAACTGTAACTTCCTCTTAACCACTAGATACTCACAAATTCAGAACGTAGACACTGAACTATCCAGACACACCTTTCTGAATATGACTGCATTCATAGAGAGTTGCAAACTATGAAAGATATACAAAACAAAACAATAAAACACAGAGTGGAGTTATACTTTTGCATAAAGTTTATTTATATAGTGCAATGCAGAAACTCTTCATATTAATTGAAATGTTTTAGTTTCATAAGCTCAATAAAAAGAAACTCTAAATATTAAAGTTAGAAGATGTTAAAAGCAAAAGAAAAGAAAAAGTAAATGATGTGTTTATTTACTTCAAGAATTTTGGTTTACAATGTTTATATGAGCCTCAAAGTAAGTTAGCTGTGTTTATGACTCTTCTTTGGTAGAGTTTATTGCTTCTTGTTAACTGTTTTATGGTTTACATTACTACAATATCACAATATTCATCTGTCGTCACAGTGGCTGTTTAGATTTCTAAAACATGGGCAAACTCAGTGCAGTTGTGTCTTGTTTGTGACTGCGCATTAATGATTGGGATAGTTATACATTTATACAGCTCCAAATCACAACAACAGTCACCTCAAGGTGCTTTATATTGTAAGGTCGACCCTACAATAACACATACAGAGAAAAACCAACAATTATATGACCTCCTATGAGCAAGCACTTTGGCGACAGTGGGAAGGAAAAACTCCCTTTTAACAGGAAGAAACCTCCAGCAGAACCAGGCTCAGGGAGGGGCGGGGCCATCTGCTGCGACCGGTTGGGGAGAGAGAAGGAAGACAGGATAAAAGACATGCTGTGGAAGAGAGACAGAGATTAATATCAAGTATTATTCAATGCAGAGAGGTCTGTTAACACATAGTGAGTGAGAAAGGTGACGGAAGAAGAAATATTCAATGCATCATGGGAATCCCCCAGCACCCTACGCCTATTGCAGCATAACTAAGGGAGGATTCAGGGTCACCTGGTCCAGCACTAACTATATGCTTTAGCAAAAAGGAAAGTTTGAAGCCTAATCTTAAAAGTAGAAATAGTGTCTGTCTCCCAAATCAACAGTTTTTCCATGAATTTTTACAAATTGATACAGGATTGTCTTTTTTTTTTTTAAATCTTGGCCTTCAGGAAGAAAGAAATGTCACTGGAAGTACATCCTGAGTGCATTTCTGTGTGTGACTGTTATCCTGGCAGTGCTCGGACTCTTGCTGTGGTACTTCCGTGAGTTGATCTGGAGACTGTGCAGCTGCATAAAATTATTTTTATAATTTAAGTATTGTAATATGGCATGATTCTGCATGCTCTTGTATATATATGAGATTCACAGTAGTAAATGCATGTGCTCACAGTATACTACCAGTGTCTACTGGGGAAGTCGTGTGGAAAAGGTGGGATGTGTCTGAGCCATACCCGGTGGTGTGATGGAACCATTGACTGTCCAGATGGAGAGGATGAATCTCAGTGCTGTAAGGCATTCAAATCAGTGTCTCAGTCTTCCACACAGTTATTTAGTGTACGAATCTATTTTTTAATAGACTTGATGTTTCACAGTTCGCCTCCAAGGGGCCAACTCCATGCTGGAGAGTTATTCATCAAGCAGCCAGACCTGGATGCCCGTGTGTGCTGACAACTGGGATGATAACTATGGACGAACTGTGTGCAGACAGATTGGTTACAGCAGGTGCTCATTGTCCTTTCCCACTGACACACTTTTGCAATGTGTGGTGTAAAAAGCTCACTCATATTACACGACTCATGATTTGCATTGCTACTGGACCTTGAATAATTTCCAAACTAAAGCATTTTTTTAAAATTACATACAAAAATATTTTCTTGGATTAGATATAATAGATATTCGTTTGATATAATAATGTGTGCGTCACATTACTGTAACTCCTCAGCCCTTTGACAAAAATGATAAGAATCATCTTGTAATTTTACACCTGGTGGGCTGTATGATACGTGGGTGATAAAGTGTTTGTTTTTTTTAGCTGCACAGACCTACTGCTTACCTGTGGAAACAATGGATGTACTTAGTTTTTCCACCCACTGAGACAACAACTAATATTCTTCTGAAATGACAAATGTGCAGTATTGATTAGTACATATTTTTCAAAGTTCTAACTCAGAGGGAATGTCCTTGCGTGACATGCATGTATGTGTGAGTACAGTCTGCTGGTCTCATCTCCCTGTCACACGTGCCTCTTTGTCCCACAGAGATGATTATTTTGCCTACAGCCAAACCAGTGCAGGTTCTTTGGCCTCCAATGGATATATGAGGCTGGAGTCTGGAAGTAATAGTGGCTCACTAATACAGTCACAGCTCACTCACAGGTATACACAACCACATATCACTGAGTGCTCACTTCATACACACCACAGCATTTATAAAATGTGCCGTTTTTTTCATCCTTTCACTTTCAGCTTACTGTGCTTCTCCAAAGCTGTCACACTTCAGTGTATTGGTAAGCTACTGTGTTCTCTGTGACATACGTGAAATAATAATGTAAATCCCCAAAACTTGATTCTATTTATCTGGACGTCGTGTTTCAGTGAAGAAGCGTTTCCTCACTTGGATGAGTGATGGACAGAATCAAGTTTTGGGGATTTCCTTACTTGGATGATTGATCATACATCAATGTAATCATTTAATCTGTCCATTTGTCTGGTGCTACAGTGTCTGAATTGGTTTAAAAGCTTGAAAGTCAGCGAAAGTAACATTGAGCTCCTCGGTCCTCAGAATGTGGCAAGAGTTCAGCAGCTCCGAGCAGTCGTATTGTTGGTGGCACAGAGGCTGTAAATGGAGCCTGGCCATGGCAGGTCAGCCTCCAGGTTTCAGGTCGACACAGCTGCGGAGGCTCCGTTATCAGCCGATACTGGATCCTGTCTGCTGCACACTGCTTTAAATAGTGAGAGCTTCTATTCTCTGCTTTCTTTCACCCGAACATGTCATTGTGCTGTTGAACAATAGCAAAAACATAATCCCTCTGACGGAAGTAATCCTGATTCAAAGAACTACCTGTGTGTGTGTCATATTTACAGCTTAATGACTTAGGTGTGCCTTCAAAGACAAAGTACACAGGATATATGGGAATATTACTTTATTGCAATATATTTATTCACATGTTGGTAGAAAGGTAACTGTGTCACTGATAGCAGTGAAGCACGCGACGTGTTTGCAAGTTCAGTAGGTTTGTCTCTTTTTCGACAACAGGTTCACTTACTGTGTTTATCCCACAGAAGACATTAACATTAACTATCTTAGTTGAAGCAGGCCTAAGGTTTGGCCATGCAGCTTTGACCACCATACATTCAATTAGATGATAAAACTGTGTAAGACTGGAACTGCCAAATCGTTATCATACAGTGTCCTCAATTTCTCAGTGAGAGCCACCTTTACTTTTTATGTCGAGTCTCCAACTATCAGTTGTCGAGTCCTCCACTCAAGTGGAGGATTCATAATGGATCAATAGTGACCTCGTGTTCATCTTTTATCTACAGTGTTTTGGCTAATATTTAATAAATCCACCATGCCCATTTCACCTTGTCTTTTCCTTGGCAGTTCCTCTTCTCCTTCATTGTGGAGGGTATACTATGGGGACGTGAACTTGGAAAACATGTTTAACAGCAGAGTTCAGAAAATCATCAAACATAAAGATTTTGACACAAGAACGAATAATTATGACATTGCTCTCCTAAAGCTTGATACACCTCTGACTTTTAACAGTAAGTACTTGGAAGTTAATTTCACATGTTAATTTCAATGATACTGTGATTACGTGATTGCAAATCCAGCACTCTAAGGTGATACATGCTTATGCCTCAGATAAAGTTCGGCCGGTGTGTCTCCCCAATGTTGACCTGAACCTTTCTGCTAATCGTCAAGCATGGATCACAGGATGGGGAGCACTGCAGTCAACAGGTGAGGCAAAACCATAACTGAATATGTCAAACCTTCAGCCTTTGGCAACAGCCTTTACCATAACACCCAAAATGTAATTCAATGGTATTTATTTATACCATTTATTTATTTATTTATATTTATTTATTTACACCATTTATATAGCACCAAATGTTTAAAATTGTAAGGAAAATACTCTACAATAATGCAACAATGGAACAATCACATAAGCAAGCACTTTGGTGACAGTGGGAGGGAAAGACTCCCTTTTAACAGGAAGAAACCTCCAGCAGACTCATGCTCAGGGAGGGGCGGGGTCATCTGCTATGACCAGACCAAGCAGAGGACTTAAATACACGGAACGGCAATGAGGAAAGTGGAAACACATGGGGAACACAGCTGATACAAAGTGACGTCACAGGGGAAGCAAAACTAAACACACAAAACATGGACCGTGAGACTAGCAAAGTAAAACAGGAAACACTGAGACATAGACTGACACGTGAGCATGCGTCAACATGACAGGAGGCAAGGCAGATGAGAGAGGGAGCGAGGGAACACGAGAGAGGGGACGAGAGAGCACAAGTAAGAGAGACATGACGGCTGGGGAGACATGGAATGACACACAGGAAGTGGAGACGAGACATCTCGACAAAGCAACATGGAAACTAAACATAGCAGCCGAAAAGGAAAACCAAAATACTACACACAAAGAAACCACAAAACACCATTAATTCCAATAGGCTGGCTCAAATGACCCAAGTCACCGGAAATTAGTTGATTCCAGTCCTGGCCAATTGTTCGATGCATCTCTAATTGTAAGTTCTTAATCATGTAACACTGACCAGCATTTTCAAAAAAGGCAGACACTGTTTAGACTATTACAATATGTGAATGAATTTCATTGATTGATTAACATCTGTTTCATTAACTTCAGTTAAATTTATTCAAGCTGTTTTTAGCAATACCAGAAATATGGAGTCAGTATTAGGACATCAAAACTGATCTAATGTTTACTGTCACCTTTTTTTTCTTCTTTACAATAAATGCAACCACCACCAGTTCATTATTGTATCTTCACTAATAGCTACCACTACACTTTTTCCATGAAAAAGTAAAACAGTTATGCATGTCCTGTCCATGTTAAACAACACTTTTTAATGACTCTTAAACTAGTGACTGTGATATCCTCAGTTAATAGGAACATAAATGGATATTAAATAAAGCCAGTGAGCAGAACAGACTCTTTCCAACTGAGAATGAAAAGAAATACAAAGTTCAGTGTGTGACCCAGAGCAGAAGAGTAAAAACTACTACCGCTGTTTTGGATTTTTGTTACTTGTTATTAACAATATACAGTGTGTTTATGGCCTTGGATTTGGGATTACCTTGCTAGTGACAGGACCTTTGAGCCAGCTTCAGGCTTCTCAGAATGAAAAAAAAGTATTCAGACCTGAGTGGGTCTATTCCAGCAGCTGTCAATGTAGTTTGTGTCCACGTTGACACAAACACAAGAACACAAGACAAATTTAGGGGTTGAATACTTTTTTCACAGCACTGTCTAATATAAACTACGTTGAGTGAGAAACCTGTAACGCTCCTTTTCATTTTTCATTGTCGATTATTTCAGATGGGACTTAGCAAGCACTGCCTTTCATGTTTGTCTGAGTTAACAGTGTGAATAATCCTTTTTCCAGGGCCAACCCCCAAAATAATGAATCAAGCCAAGGTGACCATTTACAGCAGGGCCACTTGTAATGCACCTGAAGTATTAAATGGTGAAGTCACCAAGGCCATGTTCTGTGCAGGTAGCCTGGAGGGAGGAGTTGACTCCTGTCAGGTCAGTCTGATCCTCCTGTCACACACTCTGAGATGTAGCAATAAGTGTACAACCTGAGATATGTCTGTGGTTCTGTGTGCTGCAGGGTGACAGTGGAGGTCCCCTGGTCGTGAAAGAAGGAAATCGATGGTGGCTGGCAGGAGCTACGAGCTATGGTTATGGATGTGCTTTGAAGAACAAGCCAGGAGTCTATGCCAATGTACCATTCTTTATTGACTGGATATACGAAAACATACAGGTACGTATGCAATGGGAGGAGAATAGAGAATAAAGTCCTGTGAAATTATCTGTTGATTAATCAGTGGTGTCAAATGTTTATCCTGTATTTTCTCTGCCACATCAAATATACATTTATATTTGTAAGTTTAGCTAGAAAGTCATAGCAGTGCTTTATTTGTGCGTGCTCTTCTGTTCACTTTGTACATGACATTGAATGTTTGACTGTTTTTCATGTTGTGTGAAATGATGTTCTCTGATACATAATTTGGTGATTAATAATCATCTAAGAGAACAAAAGAGAATCTGCTCTTCCCCCTAAATCTAATCATACTTTTTTTTCTTTACCTCCATAGAATAACTGAGACGTCGGTGAATTTTTGAAAGGAACTACTTGAGTTACTTGCAAAACAAAAATCAACCAACAAAATAATGGATCAGCATTTTTATATTCTTGTTTATAGCATGCACTGAATTTCTTGCATTTGGACAAAATAAAGCTATTATTTGGTCCAATAAAACTAATTTTCAGCAAAGAGTTGTTTTTTTGTAAATTCACATTGTGCGATAGATGTGCTACAGAAAAATGTAGCTTTGCTTTTCTTACTTCTGCCTGGCTAACGAAGCTTGCTATGCCATGCCTGATACAATGAAATGAATTCATACATGTGCCTTTTAGCTCCCACCTCAACTAAGTATGATGTCCTTGAAGTGGAACAGCAAGGTCAAAGCCAGGAAATCAAATTTTGACTGTGTCACATAATGTTATGTAATAAATTCCACTAGAGTTAAATGGTAAAAAATGGTAAATGGCCTGTATTTATATAGCGCTTTACTAGTCCCTAAGGACCCCAAAGCGCTTTACATATCCAGTCATCCACCCATTCACACACACATTCACACACTGTTGTGTTGTATCTCATAACTGTTTCAAAATAAAATATGACCAATGTCAAATGTTCTGAAATAAGTTGTACTTTAAGTGTTCTGTGTGCGCTGTGGATGACAGCTTTGCTCACACTGGAGTCTGTTTCCACATATTATCAGAACAATCAGCCAGGAATTCAGTTCTGCCCAGTAATAAGTGACAAATCAGTTAACTAATGGTAGTTAATGTTTTATGGTATATTACTGTCACATGTTCTAAGGCACTTGTCTAAAGACAGGATTTTTTTCAGCTACTAGCTGTTATTTTCCATTTCACTGTCTTAGCTTTGATATTTACATAATGTTTTTTTTCCAAGTCCTATACTAAAGAGTGGTTTCACAATAATAATGTGTGCATTACTGTGAGACAAGTGCTTAAAATACATAGAATAAAAAAATGCTGTATTAGAATGTTATTGTGGATAATAGCTTAAAGCAGTTTTCATTAAGACTAGCAAAGTTTAAATAAATACTAGTGTCTTTCTACTTGAATAAAAGAGTGAATGAGGCTCTCGCTCCATTCCGATGTACTTCCAACCTTCAGATCAAATTCTTACTTATTCTTTAATTGCTTCTTTTCTCTTAGCAAATGTGCAGGAGCTGCTTAAATGCACACATTACTTGCTGTCGACCTTTTAGGAAGACTAGTACTTTTACTAGCCTGATCTACTAGTTTTTTGAATTACTTTACCAAATGCAACTGGTATATCACTGGTTTACGCAGACCCCAGTTCAATCAGAGCCAATTTAAAATGTCAATAAATAAATAGCAACGATGATACAGAATGCAATGGTTCATAAATGCATATTTTATTCACAACAGAGCATAGAAAATGTATCAGATGTATTTAGACTTGTCTCGAAAAAGTTGGGACAGGTGCAAGAAGAGAATGAGCGGTACTGGCCACGTTTTACTGGACACTGGACATTATATTCTTCATTTCCAGTTAATACTTGTACAGCTGCTGTTATTGTGTATATATTTATTTATATTTCTTCATACATTCTTATATAGTTCTAAATTGTGTATTTTGTTGTACAGCTATTTTATTTTCAACTTTAATTTATATATTTTATCTTATTCTTTCCCAGTTAAATTTACCCTTCATTCTAATTTGTGTTGTACAGTTATTTCATTTTTAACCTTAATTTATATTTTATTCCTTCCTAGTTAAATTTACCCTTTTTAATTTTTCATATTTATTTCCTATCTTATTCATAGCCTTTTCCTTTTTTGTTTGGTCACGAGCAGTTGTCAAAGCATTTCACTACATATCGTACTGTGTATGACTGTGTACGTGACAAATAAAATTTGAATTTGAATTTGAATTCAGTAACATGATCGGGTTTAAAAAGAGCATCTCAGAGAGGCAGGGTTTCTCACGCTTATAAAGATAGGCAGAGGTTCCCCAATCTGCAAAAAACTGTCTATAAAATGTGAATAAATTTCAGAATAAAGACTTTGAATATCTTTTTATCTACTGTACATAACCATAGCCCATAACCTGGCAAAAGATTTTAGGGATTTGGGACAAAGTTTCCATGATCTTTGGGCCCTCAGGTGGCAGTGCATTAAAGACGTGATTCCTGAAGCCTGAATCAATTCACCATGCCATCCACTAATGCAGGTCTCTAGCATGCAAAGGAGTCATGTGATCCAGAGACACCAGGTCCTCACCTGGGCTGAAGCAAAGTGGAACTGAAGAGATACTTGTCATCTGCATCTTGTTATCAGGACTCAAAATGCTTACTGATGGTATGGGGGGCAGAATTACCTATTGAACTAGCAGCTTGCACATCTGGAAAGTCACCATCAGTGCTGAAACATATATACAGGTTTTAGAGCAACACAACCAGATGATGTCTTTTTTTTTTTTTTTTTTTTTTGCCTGTCCCGTTTGGCTCTTTTGCCATCAGAATTGTTGTCTAAAGGCAAAGAAAGATGCCCAACGGATTTACTTTACCAAATTGACCATCCCAGCCTTGCCGTAATGGTCCATTTGATTCACCTGTTATTGTTTATTTTATTTTCACTTACTGAATACGGGACAGACTTGACTGGGGAAAAGAAGGGGAGAAAGAAAGAGGGAAAGAGAAACAGCTGAGAAGAGGGATGGGGGAGAAGGGCAAAAGACAAAAACCAACAGAACGGGCAGAAAAAAAAAAAAAGAAATAAAAAAATGCATATATCGATCACCTGGATCACCTGCTGAGAAAGAAAAAAGAAAACAAGCAGAAGAGAACAAGAGTAATAGAATAAACAACATCACAATGATATATGGGAATATGACAGTAAATACTAAATGTTAAACATTATTGTGCAGCACATAAGATCAACAGAACACAGTGTGCTTTGAGGTAGGAGCCAAAAAGGGTGTAGTTTGTGGGTGTGATCACCCGTGTGTACACCTGTGAGCATGGACGCGTTTGTTTTTTTTTTTTTTTTAAAGGTTCCTTCATGTAATAATCTGCTAGAGGGTGTGGGGGGGCCACAGCCCCGTCCTCCAGGGCATGAAGCAGGTATGGAGGAGATCAAAACTCCAGACATCCAGAGGCCCCCAGAACACAAGAGACCAAGGAAGACCAACAGAGGGGCAGCCGCGCCACTGTCCCAGAAAGAGCTGAGGAGAGTCCCAGATGAGGGCTCACTCAGCAGCCGCGGAGCAGAAGCCAGGGGGAGTTGCAGTGACGCGCCCATGAGCTCCGCCGGCAGCCAGCTGCGCCTGAGTGACCGAGCCCCCGGCCCCACCTCCGAAGTGGCCCGAGCGAGCCCCAGGCTCCAGGCCCCGATAAGCGGCCGCCAAGGAGTGAGCCGGTGTGTACCTGGACGCCCATCCCCGGACACAAAGAACCACCAACGCACCGATGTCTGAGGGAGTCCGCCACTGGCAGGGGAAGTGGTGGTAGGGGGAGATAGGCCTCCATACCTTGGAGGGCCTAAGATGTCCCCAGAGAGGTGGCGCCTGACACCCAACCTGACATATAGACACAGAAATACAGGCACACACAGACACAAACATCCATTCCCACCCTCATGCTCTCATATGCACTTACTCCACACTCAACCAACGTGGAGACAGACATAAAGAGACGCTGTACACACGATCACACTCCCCAAGCGTACTCTACAAACCGGGTCTAGGTACCCTTGCCCCTGGAGGGGGGAACTGCACCCAGACCCAGGTGGTGTTACCCTTTTCCCTGCGGTGGGGGGAGGCAGACCGCCCCGACTCCGCAGCAGCAGGAAGGCCCCACACCCCAGACCGCAGTCGGACGGCCAACTCCTCCTCCTAGCCCCCCCGCTCCAGCAGGTCGCAGAGAATGGGGGTGAGAGAAGACTCCAAACCTCCCTCCACCCGCTCATTGTAGTGTTGATGCATGTGTGTTCTAAGGTGCATTTAAAACCCAGGAGGGCATGGAGCTACCTGCCAGAGAGCAGCAGGTAAGCGCATGGTCCCTCCTGATAGCCCTCAATGTCTACATGTATTTAAAATTGAGAGGTGGGCAACGACGCCAGGGGTGGGGTGTACACCCTGATGGTAATTTGGACTCCGTGTATCGTGCCCACCCCCAAGATCCTATATGTATGTGTAATGAGAGTGTGAATAATGTGAATGTCTAAGTTGTGGGATAAAATTGAGGCAGAGGCAGCCAGAAGGGGACAGAGGGAGGGGAGGGGGGGTAGCCTCCTCTGCACCCTGGTGACATACCCCTACTCCAAGGCCCTGCATGTGTGGGTGGTTGTGGTGGAGCGGGAAGAGGGAGGCAGCTGGAGATGGGGAGGGAAGGAAGGGAGGGGCAAGTGACCCCTCCCTGGGGCCAGCTCCCCCGCTGACCCCAGTAGGCACCCCCATACTCCGCGACCCGCCAGGGAAAGGGGGCCCAGGCCCATCCAGACCGGGGCCCAGTGCAGCAGCGCCTCCCGGCCCCACAGAGCCCGGGACAGTCCACCCAACCCCACCACAGAGAAAACTGCACCCACCCCACCATCCACTCATCTTCCAGACTACATAAGACAATAAACACCCAGGCTGAGATCTTCCTCCACCTCTCCTGTATCTCCCCCTCCTGCAGAGGGAGCTCCTGAAGAGAGGAAAGCTCCTGCAAGGTGTGACAATCTCCCCCACCAGTTGAAGAGCCCCCCAGGTGGTTCGACGCACCGGCGGCACCCTGCTCCAGGGCTGGGCCCCCATGCACCCACCCGCCCACAACCCCGGCAACACACCAACCAGGACCCAAGCCCCCGAGGCCCGGTCCGGGTCCCAGCCCAGAGACGGAGTGCCCCCAGAACCTCACGCCCATCCCGGACCCACCCAGGGCCAGCCAGGCTACCAGGTCAGTAACCCATGTCCGTCAGCACAGACCCTCCCCTAGCCCCGCTGCACGCAGCCGCGAGGAAACAGTCACCTGAGAGCCAACAGAGCCCCCAACCGGACATGACCGCTACCCCGGGTTGAGCCCCCAAGGAAGATACCTCCGGGGAACCCCCGACGCCCTAAGCCTGTCCCTACCCCCACACCAATCACAACAGTGAAGGCGGGACCAAACTATGACCCCCCACCCCCACTAGGTGATGGAGCTGATCAAAGGAGCCCAGA